CATTAGGAATTATGGATATTTATTCATGGAATGTGTTAGCGTAGGGGTATTTCTGTCTTTATACCTAGATTAATGTTGCTGATCTGTAATGTTGTGTTGGAACAAGTGCTCTTAACTTAAGTAAGGGCACATAGGTCTTTTCAGTTATGTTTTAATAATATAAATACTTCCTGGCCGACTGGAAGAAGTCATGTTGACTCTTTCAGTTCAAACCAGAATTCTCTCTTCTCTCTTTCTCTCTCTCTTTCACCTTTCTTCTTCTACATAACTGATCTCAGACAGGAAGAACTCTAAGGCAGACCTGAATTCTAACAGAATGTTATACTGCCTCTTGTAGCATCCTTTCCCTTAAAAAAGCAACCCGTTAGGGCCTACAGTTAAGTGAATCCTATGCATATTCAAATATTTTTGCATTTTTTTTTTGTTTAAGATGAGAAACTTTTAGGGAAAATTCCGGATTAATACCATGTATTTTGGCATGGTCTTTCTGAAACACTTTTTGTATCTAGAAAACACATGGCTAACTGATATCTCTTGTTCTTCAGAGTACAATTTATTGTTATGCATGGGTTCCAATGTACTTTGTTGGTTCAATACAATAAATTTGTTCTTCATATAATTTGAGTGCACAAAAAGAGAATAACAAAAGAGAAAGATGCTAAATTCCATTTCACACTGGGGGAATGGTATGGATCAAACCTCATGGGAGATTAGACCATTGGTGAGATAGGCTCATTACCTACTTGAAAATCTCATTCAAACGGGTCCCTAGGAGTGTTAATATGTTGGCAGATTCGTTTGCTAGAGCTGGGATTGGAAAAGAAAATCTCATTCAAATGGGTCCCTAGAATGGGGTTGCCCTAGGGCTGGGCTATAATCTGTAAAAGGCTAAAAGCTGATTTCTTCTGTTTTGTTTTAAGATCCATTTTTGGAGAAATACCTTGTACTCTTGGCCTGTTCTCTCTTTGGTGAGCAGTTTGATATTTTCTATTAATGAAAGTCATCCAGTTATTTATCAAAAGAAAAAAATGGTATGGATCTCATACTTCTGAAAAATCAGTTACTAAGTTTCTGATTGATTTTCAAGGTTGAGGGGAGCTCTGGAGCTGTCAATGACATGGCAAGCACAATGATGCATAAGTTCTGGGATTCTGCACTTACCCTTGAGCCACCAGATGATGAGTATGACACCCAGAGGTATTATTTTTCCTGCCTTGTTTTTTCATATGTTGTGTCATGGTAACTCAGTGGTAATATTTCATCACTAATTCTGCTGCTCACTTTCTAGCAGTGAACTTTCTGCACTAATGGCATCCGAAGGTGGAGATCCTGGAAAATACTATCCATCTCTTGGTCTTGGGAATACTTTTGCCTTTAAATTGGAGGATACAAAGGGTCATATTCATAGATTTAATTCTGGTGAGCGTGGGATCTGATGTGGTATCAATGTGAGAACTAACAACCTGCCAGCTTTGTTACTGTTAGTCAGGTTAACAAGTTCCACTTGATTTTCTTTAGGTACAGAAAAATTGGATGAGCTTGTTTCTGCCATTGTACAGAGGATAGGGACTGAAAATGGTGAACACCCAGAGCTCTTGGTGAGTCTTCAGTGTATGTGTATGTAATAGTGTTTTTCTTTTTCCCCTTGGCTTCTACATGTTGTAACATTTTAGATTGGTCATTTCATTTGCCTTTTATAGTATGAAGATGATGAAGGCGACAAGGTTCTCCTTTCAACTGACAGTGATCTCATTGGAGCCGTGAGCCATGCCAGATCAATAGGGTTGAAGGTAATTAATTTTGCTTGTGCTGGAAAATGTTAGAAAATTAAACTATTCTTTTCCAAACTTAGACTATCTTTCAATCAATTGATTTCTAACGCCTTGTGAAGTTCATGAGGCCCAAAGAAAATGCTCAAAGTTTAAAGATAGCATTTTAATCATTAATTAAAATAGGGTTTTATCACATGGACGGTTATATGAAATTTACTATAAAATTTTGTTATAGACTTGTAAATTACTTAATTTCATTTAAAGCTAAGGGTTTCTTTCCTGAAGTTTATAGGAATAGAATTTAGAGTCTATTTTCCTTTTCTCCATAATTTCCTTAGACTTTAAATCCACAGTCTCCATGGTTCTATAGAATTAATGTTGGCTGCACTTGATTTCTTTATAATATGTACTACACAAAAGGCACATCTTAGGCCTCTTCTGTATATTTTAAATAATTTATTTATATAATGGATAAACCAAAATCTATGTTCTTCCTTTATATATAGATCCAAACCTTTATCCCAACTATATGGGTCAGCTACATTTTTTTTTTTGAGAGAGAGGTAAAGAATTTCATTAATATATGGGGTCAGCTACATGAATCCTGTTTGACCATCCATGTGTATATACATGTTTCCTTGGAAAAAATGAGATGAAGGTACTATCTCCTTGTCTCACACATTTGCCCTCTAATACATTGAATCAATCACTATGAACTTTTAGAGCTCCGATATCATCTCCTAGAAAATTTCTTACAGCTTTCAGAGTGTAAGTTAAATTTTCATATTTTAGATCATCATTGTCATCCATGCCTTATCCCAACTATATGGGGTCGGCTACATGAATCCTGTTTTGCCAATCTGGTCTATTTAAAACCATATCCACCACTAAATTATTAGTGTTTAGTCATTTCTTACCTATGTCCTTTTTGGTCTACTTGTAGCCCTTCTAGCCCCTTCAATTTGTAATCACTTCTTCTAGTTGGTGCTGTCGATGGTCTTCCATGCATGTGACCAAACCATCTTAGTCTACTTTCTCTCATTTTATCACCTATTGGGGCTACTCTTAGGTTCCTAAGGATGTCTCTAGTTTTTCTGCTCATCCATCTTAGCATTCGCATTTCTCCCACACTCATTTTCCGGACATGTTGTTTCTTGACTGCCCAACACTTTGCTCCATATGACATAGCTGGTGGCCATACAACTGTTTCATAGAATTTTCTTTTTAGTCTAAGCAGTCTTCGCCCATCACAAAAAAATCCAGATGCACCCCTCTGTTTTGCACATCCTACTCTAATTCTTTAGGTGACATCCTCTATCTCTCCCTTATTATGAATTATTGAACAAAGGTACAAAAAATGGTTGCATTGAGTTATCTCTTGGTCTCCAATCCGAAGTATATCCTGATTTTCGCTCTTATTAGTACTAAATTTACATGACATATGCTCTGTTTTAGTCCTACTTATTTTAAAACCTATTTCTAAGGCATTTGTCCATAAGCTTAATTTTGCTTTTAATCCTTCATTAATTTCATCAATTAAAACAATGTCCTCCACAAACAACATGCATCATGGAACTTCCTCCTGAATATGTTTAGTCAATTCATGTATGATCAGTGCAAATAGATCATACATGTTTTTTTGATCAAAAATAGATCATACATATTTTTTGATAAAAAATAGATCATACATATTGTTAGAATGCTCAAGTCAGGGGTATTTTGGTCATTCTGGTGTATCTTATTGAAAGTGAAATGTCTATTGTATTTGAGTTTAAGTTATGTGTTCCATCTTCTATGAGGGACAAAATTGTCTTTCTTGTAACTCAAGTTTTTTATGAAAAAAAGTCAAGTGGGTCGGCTAGGAGAGTGACTTTTGAACATCCTCTCTTCTAGTCTG